AGGCACCCCCACGGGCTCGGGCACCTGCAGTCTGCACCTGAGCGAGCGGGCGGACTGGCAGTACTCGCAGCGGGAACTGGATGCCGTGGAAGTGTTCTTCTCGCGCACCGCTCGGGATAACAGGCTGGGCTGCATGTTCGTGCGCTGTGCCCCCACCGGCCGGTACACGCTGCTCTTCTCGCACGGTAATGCTGTGGACCTGGGCCAGATGTGCAGCTTCTACATTGGCCTTGGCTCCCGCATCAACTGCAACGTCTTCTCTTATGACTACTCTGGCTACGGGGTGAGCACTGGCAAACCCTCTGAGAAAAACCTGTATGCAGACATTGATGCAGCCTGGCAGGCCCTCAGGACAAGGTAAATGGATATTGGGGACAAGGTATTTCTGTGTCTTGGTTTAATCCTAGTAAGTCCAGTGTCTGCACGGTTAGCCTGCTGAGAGGAGGGGAAGGGTTTGTTAGATGGTTTGATTTGCTTTGATGGCCTCACCAGATGTTCCATGAACGGCTACAATGCGATTTGCTGGATGGCTTCATTTGCTAAAATGATGGGCAAACCTTCATCCTTGAGCTTTTTCTAGATTTAGAGGATTATTCAGCTGTATTATGTGTTACCCATTGCTTCACTGTTGAAAATCTCCGTCTTGAGTAGGACATATTGCACTGGTTGCAGTTTGAGTTTGCAGACTGCAAAAAACCCATTTTTTTTCAAGACTTGCCCACCACTGTCTAAGGTTAGAGGTAACCCAGGTGAGCCAAAGCTCTGACTGAATTTGACAGTGGCCTAGGCTAGTGCTTACCATGAAACTGCTTGTGTTGTGTGATGTGTTTGGGGTTTCATGTAAGCTTGTGTGACATAGACGTCTTCCTCTTCTGGCAACCAAACAGCTGCTATCCAATGGTTAGGGTAGCAGGGTGGAAGTAAGGAGTGCTGACAGCTGGAAGTAGAGCTAGGGATTCTGCCAGGGGATGCCAAAATAGGTGGCATTCAGAGGGATGGAGCAGCAACAAGAAGGCTCTGGTGAGGCAACATGGCCTTGGCTTCGAGAACATACTGAGCAGAGCTGCTGGCTCTAGCTCCTTGCTACAACTGATTGTTGTCCTTGGGCCTCTTGCTGCTTCTGTCTCCAGAAACCACGAGCTTCTCTTGCTGTTGCATAAGTCATTCTTAGAGTATGACCTCGCAGAACATGTCCTGCAAGAGAGAGCTTTAAAAAGCTTAAATTGTCGCAGTAGGCCAAGAGAAAAAACGATGAACATTTTCAGTTCTTGGCTGTGGCGTTGTGGAGACGAACTTGGCTTGCGTGAAATGCGTATTTAATGTCTATCTCGAGGATCCATGCCAGCTTCAGAAATAGTGACATGAGTTGTTACTAATTTAGATAATTGGCTTTGCAAGAATCCGGGGATTGGTTAGTCGTGGAGTCCAAGTGCCTTTTGACATTGCTTTGCCCAAGTCAAGCTAAGAGCAGGGGCGAGAAAGGTGTAGGGAGTAGGAAGTTAACCTTTCACAGCATGTGTTCTGGCTGTTTGGTGAGCAAACCAGATTCTGGGCTCATTTTATGGAATTGTTTTAAAAAATAAGTTCCTTGAATATAAATAAATGGTTTTCTGTAAAGAAATGATTTCAGTATGCTGAATGCAGAATAAGTTATTCAGTGCCACTATTACACGTATGGATGACGTAAATAAGGTTTAAGGGAGGAAAAGTGCTTTGTCTAAGCCAAGCCTAGTTAGTGTTTGTCCTTCAGTTGCTGTGGTTTCTCTCTCATTCACTTGATGTTTAGTTAATGATATTTTTTTATTAAAACTTAATCATAGAATCATAGAATTTAGGGGTTGGAGTGGAGCTTACAGATGATCGAGTCCCAACCCTCCCTGCAATGGGCAGGGACACCTCCTTACTAGATCAGGTTGCACAAGGCCTCATCCAGCCTGGCCTTGAACGCTGCCAGGGTCACTAGAACTGTATTTCAAGCCCAGGCTCTAGAGCTCTGAGAAAGGACTTTGACATCTGCCTGGAAGTGCTTCTTCTGAACATGCGTTTAAGTTTTCCATAGATCCAGAAACAAGGAGTTCCTTCTCTTGAGTCTTTCAAGAACTGATGCAGATGATCATGACAGCACATGCCCAGCTTGCTCTGAGAGGATTGGGCTCCTATTGAAGTGTGACTGGACAGGTTTATAGCTTTATATTAGGTTCTTTCTGTGGTTTATAACAGATCTAGGCTCTGCTTTCCTCCTTTAATTGAGGGGTCGAAATTTACCTATTCTTACTTTGCCATGTTGGTTAATCTCATGTTTTAGTGCTGCCTTGAGAGTCCTATTTAGAGTAGTTGTGTTATCATTGGTTAGATTTTTGGGAGCCAAAAAGCCCCTGGAACAGGCTGCCCAGGGAAGTGGTGGCATCACCACCCCTGGAAGTGTTCAAAGGATGTGGATTTGGTTCAGTGGTGAACACTGGTGTTGGGTTAATGGTTGGACTTAATGATCTTACAGGTCTTTTCCAACCTTAATGAGTCTATGATTACAATGTTTTAGGTGCCCAGTAAAGAAATTGGTTGCTGTAAAATGTAGGCTTAAAAAGAAAGTTAATTGTTTCTAGTAACAGACGACTGTCTTCGGAACAGGTACGAGCTGAAACGATAGTCTTTCTGCTGTAGTGTGAACTTTACGAGACTGGTCATTTCTTAGTCCTTTTAATAAGTCCAAGTGGCTCACAATTAAGTGAAATATTGTGCAGTAAAAATACAAATCT